ACATGTTCAGTTTGTACTAAGGCAGAAGAAAGCCCAAGGCACTGCCAGAGCATGTGGGAGCGACACTCAGCCCCTGCCCCTTTTTTATAGCGAAAGAAAAGTTTAGCTGATGGTACTCGTGTGAAGTAGAGACGTAATGAGGCATAGCTCAGGGCATTCCCTCAGAAAGCCAGTGTGTGATCCTTCAATTCATACTTAAAGGCAAACAAAATGTCTGTGGTGACGGAAAGACTGGAGTTTAGTTTAAATATGTGACAAAGTAGCAGAAAACAAAGACACCAAATTTTCCCGGCGATGGAGATGAATGGATGCTCGATTCTTGGCCACATGTTGCAGATGAAATGGGAAGTTAGAATCCCCATTGGACCCAGTGATATGATGAATACCATCCCCCAACTTCAGATAGAAAACGTTTGTCGCAGTAGCTGGTCCTCAATGAATGACATGAGCCTACTTAGAAGAGAAAAACCTGAATTCAAAGAATTTCAGTACTCTTAAATTGGGGAAAGAGAACAGAGTGAAGATGCCTACTGCCTGCTAGGTAAAATAACTTCAGCTACAGATCAGTCATAGAAATTCCATCCTAAACAAAATTATCATGTTACTGCTCTTTGGCCCCCACGTAAATGAAATTATCTGACCAAAGCAAAGATCAGGGAAACAAATGAACAAGAAAAGATGAGCACAGCTCCAAAAGAAGGGAAGACTCTTAATTATTCTCATAAACTGTCTGAGCAAAGAAACTGCTTGGGGTTCACTTAGCAACCACCTTCAATTCAGATCACAGAATCTGCCTGCAAGAGCTCTGTATTTCTGGTCCCCCAAGAGCTTACATAAGTTACCTTTCATAAGACAATGGTGTCCAAATTATTGCACAATCCTGAGCAGGTCATAAATGAAATGTGATTTTACAGAGAGGAACCTGAAAATTAAAGACATAACAAGCACCTGATATCTACCATCAAGTATTTCTAAAGAAATTGTCTTTTGTGATTTTAATTCCTAGCTTATGAAAGTTAACCTATATTTGTTAAGACTTAGAAAAAGAGTTAGTAAAGCATAACAAAACTAGTCATGCAGAAAATTGGGAATCCCAGGCAAGGAAAAGTAGTGGTCACTGACCACGTCAGTGGTCATTTGGGGTCTGCTGTTGTGGCCTGGTCAACACTTTCCAGCCCCTTGCATTCTTGCTGCAGTAGTTGGCCCTGAAGATACTAGTCCTAAGCTCATTCTAGAGGCAGGTAAAAGCCTTCTGCTACATATGAATCTACCTCAGCCTATAATTTCTATGGCTAGTTGAGAAGGGAGGAGAGGCTGTATTTTTAAAATTTAAAGTATGAAAGTCATCAATCTTCTTTGCTATTTAGAGCTCCTTTCTGAAGAAACTTCAATGTGCTGCTGTGCAAGCTGGCGTTAGTGGCAAATTTAATGTCACACTGATGATTTCAGGCAACCTGGCAGCCAGCAACATGACAAGAACAGCTCGAGGGCTCACTAGATATCACTTTGTAATGAAAATGGACACTTTCTAAAATAAATGGACGCTTTACTGTGGCATGGTCCCCTGTTACCTACACATTTTAGATCTTTGTTCTGCTTAGAAAAACAAAACAAAAACAGCTGATTGTTTGCTCGGAGACCTCTTTGGCCCTATGTTGTGCTCATCTCTCCAGGTACATTTAAACACCCAAGTCAAGTCTTGCATAAGAGAATTTGCACAAGGGCTCCAAAGAAGAGGTGTCCTCTGATTTCCAGTGGAGCTGCTTCTGAGGGCATGGTGATTAACTTACCTACCATGGCTAAGCCATCGGTCGGGTGGAGGTATACTACAGAGGCCCGAGATCCATGCAGTTCTGCAGTCACGCTACCACTGGGTCCTAAGCCACATGAGAACGGGCCAAGTTCCTGGGACAGGCACTCTCAGTTTTGTCAGCTGTAAGATGGGAATATTATAGCATGTGCCTTTGGGGGTTGTTGTAAGGATAAAAGAATTAACACAATGCTTGGTATACCTTAATAGCTGCTATCAGCCCTTTGGAAGATGGACAGAAAAGACACACTGTTGGAAGTGGACCCAGGCATCACAGACCTTGAATATTAAGTGAGATGAGTTTATCTTGAATTATTTTACCCTCTTGACAGATCTTTGCTGTATACTCAGGATTCTGTTATCCGCAGGGGTTACCTCACAATTTAAGGTGAACCTCATGGACGGACTTTTTGCTCCACCACATGCCATGGTAGGAAGGGCCATTTCTCCTCCGTGGAGCACAGAGCTTGTTCTCATACTGATCCAATCTTCCCCCCTTCGTTCTCTCTGCTGATCTGAGGTGCCTTCACTACTGAGGTCTCCCCCAGGCTAATGCCTATAGGCCCAATCTTAAATATTTCATATTTCAAAATTCCTGCTGCCTCTGCTCTTCTTTCCCATCTGCTAACTGATCTCAACTGGAGTGTATTAAAGAACGTGACTTGAGCCACTTATCTGCAGTGTAATGATTAATAGCGATGATGACTGGTATTTAAATGGTGCTTCATAATTTAATAAGTTTCCTCAATGCACACGATGGCCATTCAGCCATGTCTAGGCAAGTATAATCATTTTCATTTTCACATTAGGAAACTGGAGTTCAAATACACGGGCTGGCTCATTCCAGATCACAGAGATGGGAAGCAAGCCTCGGCTAGGAATCTAAAACTTCTGATGTGATCTTTGGAGCTAATCCAAACAGGAAGTTCCTTGTTTAAAATAATTCATAGAGAGATGTGAATGATCAGTAGCTGACACCTATCAAGAGACATGTGCAGCTAAAAAGGAAAACCTCAAAAAAGATCATAAATGTTTGATTACAGAATGAAGGAGGGGATGGGGGTCAGAACTGAGGTACTTTTCAGCAGATAATCCTTTCAGTATTTGTTACTCTTGCGGACCTGCATGGCCAGCCTTAAACTCACATCTACTGAGCTGAGAGAAAAGATTCCAACCTGAGTTGAAAATCTAGGTGTTGGTTCTGCTGCAAGCAATGATTGTGCCCCTTTTTTTATTGTATACTTATATGCATTCCATGTGTATTTCAATAGAAAAAAAATTAAATACAATAAAGTGAAACTTTCACCATAAAATCTTGGCAGATGGCTGTGATGTCCCAGTTTAAGGTGCCAAAGTGTTATGAAATCCATTTGGTTTGCCAAAGAAATGTCTTTTCATTTAATCTTTAATCAGATACAGAATGGGAAAATGACCGTACATGTGGAGTAATCGTTTAATTCCACAGTTTTGAAAAAATGCTTTGAGTCTCTACACTGGACTTCTTTCCCTTCACAGTTGAGAATCAAATTTCATATTTTCCAGCAGCTTGGCCGCCCCTGTATCAGTGTAAGACCCAGGGGGCAGAGAGAGAGAGGGCACTCTCTGAGGATACCTCTCCCACTCCAGATCCACCCTGAAGGCTGCCCTGGACATGGGACCCTCTCAACCAGGGTACCACTGTGTAACCTACAACAAAAGAAGTCTCAGACCGGTTCCATCCAGCTGTACCTAATACCTATTATTTTCTCAGCTCGGTTGTTCTTTTTCAAGTAAGGGTATTTTATGAAAATTAAAACCACTCTGTCCGTGGGAACCTGTAAAGAAAACTATTTTTCGGACAGCATCACCCTGCTGACACCCTTACGCAGGCCTGTTTAGAGAGGGAGCTACTGGGTTTCTGAGTCCATTCCGCAGAGTGTCTACCCGCCAGCCCCCGCGCAGGCTGGGCCCACAGCCTGGGGAGCCCCGAGTTCCAACCTGTGACTGGAATCATTGAGTCCTGCACCCCGGCTGCTCAGGAAGCGCATTCCAGCGAGCAGAATGAAAGGGGCTTTTATAAGCAGTTGTTCGTTATTTCTTAAACAGACTCCCACATAAAGACTGTTTTGTTTCTCACTCTTGAGGAAAAAACTGAGCTCCTTCCGAGGTACGTGGAGCGGGGAGGGGATCAGGAGAGGCGGGCCCAAGGCCTGGGCAGAGCCGGGCTAGTGGAAGCAGTCTCAGGGTGGGCTCCCTCCTAGTCTAGGGGAGAGCTGCACTATCCCAGGGGAAGGGGAGGAAAGCCAGTCATTCTCAGATGGGGACCTCTGGGAGAGACTCTGGCGTTCTGCTTTCCAGAAAACTCTCAGGGAATTAAGTTTTCTCTAAGGACCTAATTTCCTGTTTTATTTTTTATTTTTCCTTGGCCCAAAAGGCTACATTTTGCCCTTTATAAGATTCAGAGCTTTCTTCCTATCATACTATCCTAGTTTGTCACAGAAAAAGCAGATCCTCTCTCTTTCTACTGAACTATAACCTCCTCACCATTCGAAACACCCCAAATTCTGTGTAGCGGGCAGGAAAAGGCTAAAGTTTTATAATTTAACTTACCTGACTGTTACATGATTATACAAATACATGCATACAAAGATGCATGATTAATTCTCATTAATTTATTCTTAATTAAATATTTAGTATCAATTTATAATGGTATCATGAAGATCAGGTGGCACCACGAAAATGTTGAAGAAAATAGTACAAAGAAAAAAGTTGTGTCCCTTTCCTTTTTTTTTTTTTTTTTTTTTTGTACTGGGGATTGAACTCAGGCTCTTGTGTTTGCCAGG